ATTATTTGTACATTTGCCTAAAACCAGTGAAAATGACTTCCTTGGGCAATCTAGTGTTAATATGAAATCCCTCTGTTACTTACTAAAAAAATTTGAGCGTGACGCGAGGCTCGTAATTTTGTTTGAATGTTACACGAGACGTATGGCTGGCTTTATGAAACGTTGAAACGGATAATTGAAGTAGTGGACAAGGAAGATCATTAGGAAAGCGAGCCTCATCGGGCTCGCTACTTCCACGTCCCGATCCGTATTTACCGTTATCGAACTTAAAAGGTACCATACACACAGGCCATAGTAACCGTCTCCTTTCTCTCTTTCTCCGGCGAGTTAATTGAGAAATCGACCCTCCCATCACCTGTTCCTTTCTTCCTCTCTCTGTTGGCTCGCGTATAATCGAACGGACGATAATCAGGTACCGTGCGGCTCATTGTCCTAGTGCAGGTAACCCTCGTTCAACACGAATACTTTTACCGCGAAACCGTGTTAAACGGTACAACAGTAAACATCATTTGAAAAGCTTACGTTTACAATCATAACTAAATTGCAGATCGTAATGTTTTTCCTATCCTTCAAGCTACGCAACCGTCAAACCGTATCATCATATTTAATGTTGAAAATATTATAGAATTTGATGATCGATTTTATTAATTAACCTAACTTTCAAATGGAACAACTTTTTAAAATTATATAAGAGATGGTATGAAAAATTTCGTATCTAATAATAGAAACATAAATAATTAATGTATTTTCTTATACGTATTAGAAAGTAGTAAATAACTGTCACTTCTGCGTATGAAATTAGATAGGAAGACTAATTTCGTGACTCTTGACGTGTTAAACGTGGATTACCATTGCGCGCATAATTTATTTCCTTACGTACCTATAATCACGTAACGAAATACCGAAAGAAGGTCAAATCCAAATCACAAAACTGCACAAGGTTCACACAATTCTTCGAAACGTTGATCAGTGTTCCTCTTCCTAAACGATTCTTCCCATCCGTCACTCGTCGACGATAAAATTCATCACACATTCAAAATTAATGTACAAAATATCCTCGTCGTAAACTAAAAAACAAAAAACAAGACGGAACTGCTTAGAATTCTACTGAAATTGTAAATGGAACGAAAGCGAACGCCGGACGATGAGAACTGTTCAACGAAACAGGTTGAAGCTAGTTCGAGGCAGGAGCGACGACCGTACGACCGGGATCGGGATCAACCGCGAACTGACTGGGACTCGGGTGCAGAAAACTTCAGTAAGAACGGATCAGGTGCAAAAGATTCCTGTCCCCCTACCGGTTAACCAGTCGCCGCGTCCCCCCTCTGTTCTTGTGCCGCTCGCAGGTTAGGTTTCTTAGGCTCTCATCCTGCTTCCAACAGTTTATTACCTTTTACACGCACCGTCTTGGCGACGTCTGCCACGGGAACGGATTCAAACAATTTCCATTACCAACAGACACGACCACCCTTAATGTCGTAATGGATAACACTCGCACGTTTTATTCTATTTTATTAATATCAAATAGAAATAGCCAGCGAACGAGGAAATTCGGAGTTGCAAATCGACGCAATGCAATAGGACGACGCTTAAACCTTGAAACGTTGCGTTCTAACAGTACCTCTAATTGTAAAATTTGCACACGGTCGCTAACAAGATCACGCGCATTGTTGGACGTCTCTGCCATAAATTAACACGACGGGAGAATCGAGAGAGAATGCACATTGATTCGAATCAAGTAAGGACCGTGTCATTCCCTTCGCATCCACTGAGCCTCTAACGGGGAATACTGATTCGATCATTATGCAACGATCGCACGCTAAACACCCCCTTAAACGCGTGGCACTTTGCTTTGCTCGTCTTCGTTCGCAGAAACGGCGCTCGCATGTTTATCGCGAATTCTTGGCTTTTACTTAATTTGTTACCACGAAACTGCGTGATACGCTTCGACACCGTTATCGGCGCCCACCAGAGAATAAAATCTCTTCTTCCGCGTCTAAGATAATTCATCGTATAATATAATCGTTTTCTTACGATACAATTTCATGTTCCAGCTTGGAATTTAATAATACGAACGAGATTAGAATTTTAAATATCGAATTAAGTAATTTAATTTGAAGTACAGCCGGAGGAGTTTTCCTATTTTCATTTTTTTAATTGGCTCCTTGTTCATGAACATGTATACTATATAAATAATAAGTGAAAGGATATGTACTTCAGGAACAGATAAATAGCATTATGAGATCCGATATGGATTATTCATGTTACAATTTCAAGAATGCAACGCGATATCCACTGTTATCAAAAGCTGTACAGATGAAATAAATTGTACGTAGAAGCTCGTTTTAATCAAACCCGATGGCTGCTCGCTATCAGTTTGATTTAGAAGTTACTATTACCAGGTTTAATCGCTGCTGTAAATACGATGTCGATCATTGTATAATGAACGTCCGCAGTCTACTTATGAACTTATGGCAGCGGTTCCCTCGCATCTCCTTTCTCCCGTTCGTCAGTAGGCCAGCCAGTGGGACATTCCCGGTTCGAAACAGCTTTCGAACGCGCTTATTCCCCGGGTGAAGTGGCCCCGGGGGCCACGGAGAAGCTTCCGATTTCTCGAATGCAACAGCTGCCATCAGCGAGATCTATCGATCGGTGAGCAACGAGAGAGAGAAAGAGAGAGAATGGGCCTTCTCCTTTTCTATCTATGCGTGCACGGGAGGAACGGCCCCGCGACCTCGCTTTCGCGAGACCCGCGAAATTTCCGTGCCCAACCTCCTCTTTTTTTACCCCTACTGGGTGTCCAGTTTTAAATAATTTCATTTCGAAGCTGATCGTATCTTAACGATTCATCGGTACATTTTATAATTCACTGAATCATTACAATTATTGTACCGTGTAATCATAATTGACTATCTAATCACGTGTTAAACTTTCAGTGGAAACAGCAAGCAAAAAGAATAATAAACATCAAATGAATTGCACATATCACTTGGAAGGCAATTTGAGAAGCTGAAACGATTTCGTCGAATGTACACAAGTTTTCCTGAGGTATAAAAAAAATCTGTTTGCAACACGGTTAAAGCGACAGAGGCTTTGAGTGTATCGCATCGAGCCAGCATCCTTTCTATTTATCAATCTCAAACTGAAACGCGTACCGGAATTAGCGGTTCGCACAAACGGGCGTCGATACGCGCGTATGTGGTAAGTAAGCAGAAATGATCGCGGTAGTGGTTCCATTTGGTGAAAGTGGTTTTCCATAAACGTTTCTTTAATTCCGACAAATTACTTGGCTCGCGCGTCGAATCTCTGTAAACCCGCAATTTTTTTTCAATCTACACTCCTTCTACTAATAATCGTATTAGCGATCCTAAATATCTTCCAGTCAATTTATCATCACGTTTGACCGAATTCTTTAAATTGCAAAATCAATTGCTTGGATATTTTTCATTCTTAAACATGAAACCAGTGAAACTGTATTATACTTAAATAGAGAAGACGATATTAACTATCATATAGAAGATTGATAGAGTGAAAGTATTCGAATGTACATTAAATCTTATTGTTGCACTTTACGAGAGTCGCTCGAGGGCCTCTATTGATAGTCATGCTAATTTTGATGGGTTCCCTGACACGTGACAGTTATGAAGATTCCTTTTCACTTTTTAATCACTGCTGCGGGAATCGTGGCGCATAGCTGATTTTCTATTTTGTTAGAGCTCACGTTGATGCTCGTTCAAAAATTTCTCTAAGTGGGCGTTCGTCCGTTAAACGTCCCATTAGCGATGTCCATTAATAATTCCTGCCCCGGAGCCAAAGTTGGTCTATTCTATTTTCCAAAGTCTATTCCAGCTAAAATACCAGATACGTTCTGGAAAGTATAAACTTATTACTTTAATGAAAGTGATCATATATTATCCTGTATCATTACTATAAAGAATATATTTCTTTTATTACCCAGGAACGAAACGCTATCCTATAATTATCCTGTATTTCCTTCTCACAGAGTACATGTATTCATGTGTCTATTTGTTTTATTTTTAAGAAGGGATAATTATATTAAATATGAGAATTTGGAAAAAGATTGATGGTAATGAAGCCAGAAAAAGTAACAGGAATTGCAAAACTAGATTGTATCCATCGAGATTGACTGAGAATAAGAAGCGCTGGTTCACAATGAATTTCTCCCACGTGGCCGTTCTTCCCCATGGCGGAAGCGGATGCAGAGAAGCAGTTTCTTCAACCATTCTGTTACATCGTATGTACACACGCCAGGAGAATCAAGAGTAAACGTCTTAGGAAAAGTGAGATTCACTCAACTATTTTCTATCCGTCAATAGTGTTGCCATATCAAAATGATTGTTTGCCTATACTTGAAACGTTTCATAGCAATTTCTAATTTAATCTAAACGATAACAGAGATATGGAAGGTAATCGTATTTACTTTTGATTCTCACTGTATGCACTTACGTGCATTGACTTCTACCAAGAATCGCCCGTTTAGGCTGATAGCTGATCAGAGGACGACAGAAAAGGGAACGAGTCCTTTTCTCAGCGCTTCTTTCGCTTCCCGTAATGAAGCTGTATTAATTAATTAAACTGTTCAACTATATGGTCATTCTAATCGTTCATCAAATACTATGCAAACTACGAAATATATAAGGTACCAAAAAAGTTCAATAAAATTATATTACAATTTTAATATTACGATGTATGAAATTCCCTTTCACGCCCTTTTATTTTTTTTTTAGAATTCGCATTTGCCCCGTGACGACGATGAAACTATTCAGACGACACGGGAAGGACGTCGAGTATTTGAAAAAAAAACAGCGTGGAAACGCAACGACGCATTCCATTGAAAATCGAAGGACAGAAAGAAAGAGCTATTCGAACGCACGTTTCTCTCTTACTGACAATGAGACTAGATATTAATAAAAGACCTAACACCCGATGAACTCGAAAATGATAATTGCGATTAGAGAAAGCTTTGATTAATGTTACATTTATTACTACGCTCAACACACTTATGCAAATGTTATAAGCAGATTTCTTTTACTGCGATAGGTAATAAGAAAGTGACATACTCGTTTGAAAAAATCCGATACCGTATCGTTTCGCTCACAGACAGTTACAAATAGACTAGAATTGATAACAGTACAGCTCGAGTATCGGTTCTGTTCAAGTTTGAACGCAGTAGGAATCTCGAGTCCCGAAATATCCGGGGTAAGGTCTCGAAACCGGAAACGTGACCGTTGATCACGCGCTTCTAGCATCGCAAATAATTCCAATTGATTGATCGACGATTATTTAATTCATCAAACTAACTCAATCGTTTATCAGTTTCAAAATGTCTGATCATAATAATATAAACCGGACACCGGATTCTACAAATTAACACTAGAAAGACTGAAACTTAGTATATACCAATATTGCCCAAAAGCAGTAAAAATGACTGCATTGTGAAAGAATAATGTGTAAAGAAATTTGTCTAAAATTAATTTTTAATATTTTTTATATTATTTACAGTCATATAACAAGTTATTAGTAAATGTTAACAATAAAAAAAATTTACTTCACTTGGGAAAGAAAATAATTTATGCATTATTATTTGTACATTTGCCCAAAAGCAGTCAAAATTACTTCCTTGGGCAATCTAGTGTTAATAAATTGTTTAACAATGATAAACTGTACACCCTGTGAACATAAACACACCCTGTATAAAACGACGTCGAATTTTTTCGCCAGTTCCGTGTGCCATTAATCGAGCCGGCCGTGGGTAACAAATTGGACCACGCGCAGCCTCTTTAGCAAAACAGACGGGCCGATGAAAAGAAAAGAAAAGATACCGTGTACCTCGGTGTACGTGCAAGGTGGAACACTTTCGCGACGAAAATGCCTGGGGCAACGTACACTCCCGTTCATAAGAGCGTTTAACAAAAAACAGGACCGTGATAAGAGATTCGATTCGCGATAGAAACGTCTGATTCGATTGAAACGATCGAATCGCCTTCTGTTAATTCATCTGTGTTAAATAAAAATTCTAAATCGACTGAATTGTACGCGATAAACGCCGAATCATGTATATAGTATTATAAGTATCATTATCGAGTTCTATCAATTATAAGAGCGCGACTGTCCTTTGATAGGATATTTGAAAATGTTTTACAACCGTAGCGAGCGTCTGACATGCTTTCCAACTTCTGTCACTGGTTTCATCATTAATAACGCGTCGTACGGAAATATTAGCGGACGTGTACGCTCACTTTTGGCCATCACTGTATGTACGGCGTGTATACGCGAGTTCTTTGAACGGGAGGAGAGGGTTCAGAGAGGAGTGCAACGATTTCTATGTGGGCCACGAGAAAGTCACCGTAGCGCGTGTCGCGTTCTTTTTTTCCTCTCTCCTCTCCTCTTCCTCGCCACGACCCTTTTGGGCCTTTGCATTTTCGCGGTCAAACCATCGTTTTATTCTCGCCAATTACAATGGAAATTCTCAACGTCTCAAAGTTGACGCAATTCAATGATTGAGACTTGCGCTTTTTTAAATTACCTCGTAGCTCGTATCGCGATCTGTACTTTTGTGTTCAGTGCTTCGTTACCTTAATTTATACCCGGATCGCGATTCGTACCGAGGAATCCCGATGGTGAACCTGCGACAACAATTTTTACTTCGCGAACGCGACTCGTAGCCGGTAATCGCGAACGCAGTTGGCAACAGTAATCTTTTACACATGCAAATCTTCTTTTCAAGCGGCGCCGTAGCCGCGCATTAACGTTTCCAAGTTACTTTCACGCATCAATAATTTGCCACGATAAGAAAAAAAAAATACATTAAACGTTCATGCTCACGCATGAATCTATCGCCAGTTTTAATCTCGCTCTAACCACCGGCTGTATCGTAAAAACTGTCAATAAAAGACTGTTGCCGATTACGTTCACGTGCAAAACGCTGCGTGACTACCGTAAATCGCATCTGTCGCCTCGGCGTATGCACGATGCCGCAAGAACGCGAGATGAAGATGCACAATTTACCCGATAAAATCTGTGAAACCAGGGCCGAGCCCGGTAATTGCTTTCTAATCTGCGTTACGAAATGTTATGCAGTACATTTTTCCTGACATTTTTTTTTCTATGAACGCCGTACCCTTACGTGATGCAGAGTCGTCGATTAGTAAATTGATTTCTTTAACACTAGAAAGACTGAATCTTAATATATACCAATATTGCCCAAAAGCAGTCAAAATTACTTCCTTGGGCAATCTAGTGTTAAGGACCATTACTTTTATAATTGATTTTACTTGTCGACGTGTAGGAGAGTATTTAGAAAACCTGTTCGACTCTCTCGAGAGTTAATCTATGAACTCTAGCTAACCGGGAAAACTCGTGCATAATGCGACGATAAGATTGCGAAAAGCGTACGCGGACTGTTTAGCATTTGGACTCGAAACAAGATGATCTGACCTAAAAATGTCAAGCCGAGACGTATGTAACTTACTTGTCTCACAGTGAAAATCGACCCCACCGCGCTTCCAATCAGATCGCCATTGACTTTCTATAAGTTTTTCCAGTTGAAACACATTTACAATCGTACTGTAAATACGTTGCAAATTGATTTTGCAAAAATATTGCAAGTTCACAGATAATTAAATATTATTTAATTAGAAGAATTATGTTTACTTATAAATATACAAACGATTTTAATTGTAATTGACCTTTTTCTACCGATGACCGCATCTTTAACTGTTTGTACATAAGTGAATAATCGAATTCACGGAGAAAGTTGACCGAAATCACGTCTTCACGAGAAACCGAATGCTCGTTCCAAGACGTGTAATGGTGTTAACAAAATTCTCACGCTTCAACGAATTTCCGATGTTGTACGCAGGTACAGCATCGTTCAGAAACATTATAAATATCCTCGTACAGTTTATGATTAATTTATTAAATGCCCATTATCATGTAAAGTGTATCTATGATGAATCAATAAATTTCTAATGTCCATTTCACCCTTCGTCAATTTTTATCGACTCTTTTATGCACTCGAGAAACATCGAAAGCATTTGAACAGCTATTAAATGTCTGATTGCACGTTTCAATGTTGCAATTATTCGTAACAAGTTTTTGTAATTCGAAAACAAGAGGGAATGCAACCAGGAAAGGTGTCGAATCGTGTTCACGAACGCAGGTGATATTAAACGAGGTATTTCATGTGATCCGCGACATTTAAAACCGTAATTGCAACTGGGATAAGGCTACCGATACGGTGTTTCCACTCGGTAACTTTTGATAACGAGACACCTAACGGGTAAAAGCATTCCACTGATACAGAAAAAAGTGAAAGTGTGCTTTTACCAAAGCGACACACAGACGACGCGTTCACGTATGCGTGTGCTGCTATTGGAAATTTGATCGTCACTAAAATGTAGTAACACGAAAGGAGTCAAATCGAAAGTGAAAAACGACACGTGAAAGTTGTTCCTAATTAAACATTGACTTCTGATGTAACACAGAATAAATAATTTTTCATTCACTGATTACTTCAGCCAAGTTTACGTGCCTCGCATTGAACATATTTAATAATGCAGATAATGAGAAAAATATTTGTCTGACTTACCTGACTCTGACCGACTCGGTACAGGGCTGGATCGACGTCGATGGTGAGCATCATGTCTTCAACAGCGCGGCGTTCATCGGCGACGGGACTACCGGGTCGCATGTTCGCGTCGCTCGACAGCAAACCAAATCGCCTCCGGAACTCGCACAGGGCCATGTGTTTAGGGAATCCGACTTTGTGCAGTCGTACAGCATCGATTATTTGACTGCCACGGATCTGTAACAAGAAATCAGACCACCCATTCACTTAAATATAATCATAATATTGATCGGAGAGAGCTTCGATATTTAATTCAATTAAATGGAATTAAAATTGACAATAATAATATTATCGATAAGTTGATTGACTTTCTTATAAAGTAAATTGTTACCTGCGACCGTAGAAGAGGTACGTTGATAACACTATCCTCGCTCTGATTCGATTTCACTGACAATAGGCTCTTGTTATCGGTGCAACCGGCGTTGTGTTGCGGCAGTATACAATGGACGAATTTAACTCGTGTCCTCCGCAACGTCTCGATCAAACCATCCTGCAACCAATTGCGTCACGCTCTTTATATTCGTTCCGGATTACTTGGAGAATCATCAAAAACCATTGCGCTACGCAACAGTGCATTACGCATATTTATCAACCTGTCCCGTACATAAATTCTGTTTTTTAAATAGTAAGTTTAGAATCTCCCTTTTTTATACAATTTTCCTTATTCGCGAAAGTGTACGTACGTCAACTGAATAATTGTTTAAAAATAAACGTATCACGTAATGACATCCTGCCTTTTACTACATGGACATACGCGAACAGCATACGGATTATTTGGTAGTACTTTCAATTTCATAAACAGCAGGATTCTATTGTAATACAACTCGGATACTCACAACAGTGAACTTGACTTGAAGGCATATGTTTTTTCTCTTCACGGCAGTGAACGTTCGCCTTATACTGGAGGCTCTCCTCAAAGACTGAGAGCCCTCTAAACCAGGCATGGAGCTGCATAAAGTCCCGGAAACTCCAGCCCCTCGCGCGCTAACGAACAGCATGCTGATATCTTCTCTGTAACATTAACGTTAATAATAATATTATTCATTACGTGTGCAAGTTAATATTTAATAGTATTATTAAAATAATATTATTTATTACGTGCAAGTTAATATTTAATGATCAATTTCAATGATATTAATTTAATTAACGCGTACCTTGAACTTTCTTGAAGCATGGTAATGGCACTTTTAGTAACAGGATTTTCACGCGTGGCCTTTAACCACCCGGTTGCCGTATACAGCACGGGATTGGTACCCAGTAAGTGTTGCAAGACGAACTGATTGTTGCCAGGAGCCTTTCTCAGCAATATTTGATGATCTACGGAATAGATGAACGGAACTCAATTGAGTGAAATGGGAACATTTATCAGGATAAGAAGTAAAATGTTTTTTCAAACTGTGTAAGTACCTCGGTCTCCGTAATGGGAGAAGAGCCGATCTAAGAACGTCTCGTCGCTGCCACCAGGGCATACAGTCTCCTCGTCCAGCAACCACAGTAAACCCTTCCGCTCCATCTGCCTGCTACCGCTAAGGTCACTTTGACTGGTCCTGAGCATCGTCGCGCCTTGCGAGGCTCCGCGATCTAACAGCGAGATCAAACCCTGAGGCGATCCAATTCCATCTTCGTCAATATCGTCCTCGTAGTCTACGTCAATTCCTTCTTGGACGTATCTGAATTTAATTAATAGACAATATTGCAAATGTCAGTTAGAAAATTGCAAACGTGTCTTCGATAATACAACTTCTACTTCTATTAAGGCCGTTCAATTGACGTATCATCGTCAACGTACCTGTCTTTCGGCGCTACTAAAGTGGTATGATGAAACAGCAATTGTAGCCGTTCTTGCAAGTAATTGTGGCACAGGTCCTCAAACGAGGCCCCAGTCTGCCGGCCGCAGGTCGCCGGATTCTGAAAACCCGGCGAGTCACACAGCAACAAAGACGACACTGTGTGCACCGACGATGATATGGATCTATTAAACAGGAACATTTCCACATTTCACTTCACGTAGTAACAATACAACTATGTTGTACCAGATTATTTTAATATTAAACAACATTAAATTATGATAGTTACGATATTTAATAAAAATCGTACCTATTGATAAGCGCAGCGACGCAGTGGAACACCTCGGAGTACAGACCGATGAGCAAACCCTCGAGAGCGTCCAAACCCATGATATCTTTGCCTTGCTCGGTCGGACTCGGCGTACGAAGCGCAGGCCTCGGAGTGCTCGGCGTACCAGCACCGCCTCCGTTCGAGGAGAACACTATTCTACTCAATTCCTCGACAGTGGTACCTAACAACGTAGCAGCCTTCTCGGCACACTCGACGCGAGCGAATTGCCATCGACTCTGTGAACTGGTGCCGGCCTTCACTGCCCCGGCACAGCTCAGGTGGTAAATACCAGCGAGGACTAGCCAAATCGCTTTCTCGTCGGCTTCGGATATCCCGAGGATTCTGAACGCAGCCACGATTCGATTAAACTCGACCATAGCGCGTTGTTTGTCTTCGTGCTTTTGTAATGGAGTGACGAACGCATTGTTCTCAGCAACTAGATTCGTCAGATGCAATTCCTTTCTGAGGGCTCCTTCGGCACCGGCCAGCAAACGGTAGATCGCATGGAACGTCGGATCGCCGTTTGCCCTTCTCCCTATCCGCGATTTCTCCAACAGGAGTACCTTCGATTATACGAGATTTCGATCAATTTTACGAACATGTTTAATTGATAATGAAGTCAAATAGTAGAGTACTGCGTTACCTGCACAGAGGCTGATGCTATTTGTCCCGACTGATCGAAATCCAAGCTGAACAACTGCGTGAACCGCGTAGCGTTCGAGTTCATGTGCGTCCTGCTATTTCCGAAAGCTTCCAAAACTGTGAAGAGAGCATTCAGCTTCTCCACAGTTAAAATCTTCAACGGATAAACGAATTATGTACTCACAGTTTTAATAATAAAATAAAATAGTTATTAAATTGTTACCTTGTTAACCGTGCCCGCAGCCAATACAAGATAATGAAGAGCGTGTTTGAAGTTCGTCGTCTTCCCCGAGCCGCTGCGCCCAAGGAAAACTAGCGAGTGATCTCTGCGAGTAGCCAGCATCCCTCTGTAAGCTGCCTGTGCCATCGCGTAGATATGTGGTGGCATGTCCTCGCTTTTGCATCCTCTAAACATATGCGCTACCTGAAATAACA